TATATATATATATATATATATATATATATTGTGCTTCAGGTTTTAATTCAATGTTATTTTATTTTATTGCTCAAGTTGTTTCAATTTGACCATTGTTAGCTCATTCATTTGGCTTCTGTGCCTCTTTGACATACACCCCATTTTGTGTGGGGGGGAGAGGGTGGGTGTGTATTTTAGCACTTCTTGTTAAATGGATCTAAAAGATGCTCCAGACCTACCCTGGATATTTCCTGTCCCAGTTATAGAATTAGTCATTTCTCCAAGAAGTTTAGATCATTTTTTTTGTAATTTAATTTAATTTAATTTTACTTATCAAAATACATTTTACTTGATTTTCATGCCCCTTTATCCATTTCTCTGTACCCCCTCCCCCCACCCCCCACATCATATCTGTGCACTTGACTTAAATCATTCAAAGAATTTTTGTGGTTATTCTGTCAAGAACTTTAGATCTTTTTATTGATTAATGGTATTAGAAACCAGGATCTTGACCCTAAGAGGGCTTGTTGTAACCTGGATGTGTTTCTCTGAGTTTCTCTCAGCTGACAGATCAAAGAATTATATTCGGATGCCAACCCATGTGCAAGTATATAGACTATATCTATAAATATTTATATATGTAAGCATTTTTATGTAAATTGAGCCAATCTTGAGTTCTAACTAATATCTGAAAATTTAATTCATTATCACATAGATCTTTCTAGCCTTATCTCCTTGCTTATCTGTAAATTCCCACTGTTACAGCAAAAAAACTGGCTTTAACCAACTATCACCCAGTTACTTCATAATTTCTAGAACACATGTAAAACTGCATTAGAATTGTTAATCATTTCCCCTGTGGGAAATAACTCTATCAGCTAAAGTACAGGGTTATGCACAGGTCTTTTTGTCTTTATTTCTATACTCGACTCATGTCCAAAGTTACATAAGTCAGTACCTTTCCTTACCATTCCTTTCAATGAGATTGGTTCATACATCTGTCATAAAGTTAGATTATTTTGCTATGGTCTGTATTCCTTCTGAGAATTTCCTAACCTTTTAAGTGATTGTTTTTAAATTTTTGCATGTGTTCACTGTTGTAAAGTTCAATGTTTTGTTGCTATTGTTGTTTTTACAAAGATATAATATTTTTCCACCACAATAGTATCATATTGTGTATATCACTATTCACAAAGATAGTTTTCTTTCTTCCTTCCTAATCTGTATACCTTTAATTTCTATTTTGTTTATTGTTGCAATGCTAGAAATAGCAGTATGATGTTGAAAGAGAGTAGTGAGAGAAAACATATTTGCCTTGTCCCAGATCTTAGCAGAAAAACATTCAGTTTCTTAGATTAAGTATGATGTTGGAGTAGGTTCTTTTATTATTGTTATTATTTATCAAGAATATTCATGAGATACAAAGCGAATTGCCACCCCTCTGGCCCATAACAGGAGTGCCAGATTCATTCTGGGAGCATACCTATTACCAGAAATTACTTTTGTACCGCTTGTCCCCACCCAATTATCCCCCAACCTCCCTCACACTCCCTTCCTCCATCCCCCACTCTGCTTTGTAGCCCTAGGAATATTCCCTCCCTCTGTTAGACTACTGTGGTCACTACTGTGGTCTTTCTTTCCTTCCTTCTTTCTCTCTTAGCTCCCACAAATGAGTGAGTACATGTGGTATTTATCCCTCTGTGCTTTGCTTATTTCACTCAGCATAAGTTTCTCCAGGTTCATTCATTTATTCCAAGTGGGAGTATTTCATTCTTTTTTTATGGATGAGTAGTATTCCATGGTGTACATATATCACAGTTTCCTTATGCAATCAACCATCGATGGACATTTAGGTTGGTTCCATATCTCGGCTATTGTAAACAGAGCTGCAATGAACATGGGTATGTAGGTATCTCATTGACATGATGATTTCCATTCCTCAGGATATATACCCAGAAGAGGGACTCCTGGATCATATGGAAGATCTATCTGTAGTTGTTGGAGTAATCTCCATACTGTTTTCCATAGTGGTTGTACTAATTTACAGTCCCACCAAAAGTGTTGGAGTGATCCCTTCTCTCCACATCCTCACCAGCATTTGTTATTCACAATCTTTTTGATTATATCCAATCTAACTGGGGTGAGGTGGTATCTCAATGTAGTTTAATTTGCATTTCCCTGATGATTAGTGATGTTGAGCTTTTTTTCATGTGCCTGTTGGCCATTTGTATATCTTCCTTTGAAAAATGCCTATTCAGCTCCTTTGCCCATTTTTTAATAGGGTTGTTTGTTTTTTTACTGTGTAATTGCTTGAGTTCCTTCTACATTATGGGTATCAATCCCTTATCAGATGCATAGTTAGTAAATATTTTCTCCCACTGTATAAGTTGTCATTTCACTCTGTTGATTGTTTCCTTTGCTGTGCAGAAGCTTTTTAGTTTGATATAGTTCCATTTGTTTATTTTTTCTTTTACTGCTTGTGCTTTCAGGCTCATGTCCATAAAGCCTGTGCCTGTGCCCTGACCTATCTGCTGAAGTGTTTCACCTATATTTTCCCTTAGTTACTTTACTGTTTCAGGTCTTATAACTAGGTCTATAATTCATTCTGAGTTGATTTTAGTGTATGGTGAGAGATGCATATCTAGTTTCACTCTTCAGCATATGGATATCCAGCTTTCATATGGAAAAACAAAAGATCCCAAATAGCCAAAGCAATCCTGAGCAAAAATATAAAGCTGGAGGCATAAGTCTGCGTGACTTCAAATTATACTACAAAGCTGTTGTAAACAAAACAACATGGTACTGGCATAAAAGTAGGCATTCCAACCAGTGGAGTAGAATAGCGAACACCGAAATCACTCTTCAGGCTTATCACCTTCTGATATTAGAAGTAGGTTCTTTTGTATTTTTTTTTTTTTTTGCCACATTGAGAAGTGGTTTTTTTTTTTATTTGTTTTTCATAGATCAGTGTTCAATTTTTTCAAATGCTTGTCAAACTGCATCAATTGATATGATCACATGTTTTTTTCCTCTTTAGCCTTTTGATGTGATGATTGACATTAATTGACTTCAAATATTTAGAGTCTGACACAATTGGAATAAAACTTGTTTGGATGTGATTTAATATTATTTTTATGGTTGAATTTAATTTGTTATCATTTTGTTGAGGCTTTAATGTTCTATGTTCATGACAAATATTGGTCTAAGTTTTCCTTTCTGTAATGTAATTAAATTTAGAGCTAAGGTAGACATTCAATAACTCAATGTCTTTCATCCTTTCATGAATAAAGTGTTTTAAAGATGTACCTCACTTATTTTGTAGCACATTTTAATGTACAAAAATCACACATTTACAGGTACAACATATTAACAATTATATATCTCAGTTGTTACATAAATTAATTTATACATTTCTTCATCACTATTAATAGTGCAATATTACAGATATTCTGTTAGGTTTTGGAATGCATTTTTAAAGATAATAGTCATAGTCCCTGTTTACTTAGAAGGGAGGAGTCATTATACAGTAGTTATGCTAACAGTTGATGAGTCTTAAATGACAATTGAATTTATCTATTCCAATGAACATTCATTTATTTATTAAAGAAAAGAATGGGAATTTACTATGCCACTGAATAGGGTACCAATTCAGGAATTTACAATAAATGAGCACAGTGCCCTCCAACAACAATGCAGAGTTAATTGACGAAGACAGACATGAAGAAGGAAGTAAAATTGTACTCTGAATATTAAAATTATTTATAAGGTGTGTTGAAGGAAAAAAGAGGACTGTCAATCCTACTAAATGTTAAAAACATTCTTATTGGAGAAAATTTCACTAAAGGTTGGTGTTGAAATTCAAAACCAAGCAATTATTAAATTCTTAGAGTCCTGTGAAGGCTGGAAAATATGTGTAAAATTGTATTGAATCATCTGCTGTGAGTTATCATTGGAATTGAGCCAAAGATAAGAGGATGGATGAGAAAATAGAAAGCTTTTAAAAATATGTTATTAACTTGGCCCTTATTTTATAGCTAAGTGAAAACCACTTTATTTAAATAGATCTTTATATTATTTATTTATATATTTATTTACTTATTAATTTATTAATAATATTCATGAGATACAAAGCTAATGTCACCCCTCCTGCCCATGATGTGAAGGCCAGATTCACACTGGGGGTACACTCACCACCAGAAATTACCCTTACATCCCCTGTCCCTACCCCATTATCCCCCAGCCACCCTCCCTCACCTCTTGTCTCCCCCACTCCACTTTGTAGCCCCAGGAATGTTCCCTCCCTCTGTTAGACTGCAGCTCTACTGTGACCCTTCTTTCCTTTCTCTCTTATTTCCCACATATGAGTGACCACATGAGGCACTTATCTCTCTGTGCTTTTCTTATTTCACTCAACATAAGTTTCTCCAGGTTAATCCATGTTGTTGCAGAGACATGCATTTATTTTAAGATCTGTCATGCAGCACTGTGGATGGTAAATTAAATCGTGATAATAATCAAAACAGCATCATCTTCCTAATAGACAAGAAAATATCTCAATTCTTACCCAAACAATAACTTTAAGTGATGATGTACTTCCTAGAGAGAAAGAGACAAATGGAAGTGGGAAAGAGATGGGGTGTCATTTTCACCAAGGCCACACTTCACTACTTGAGAAAGTTTCTCTTGCCCTTGAATACCTTATGCACTGCTGACCTTATCTGCTTGGTTTTTAGGCTGTAAACCAAAGGGTTAAGGACAGGAGTCAGGAAAAGAAAGAGGTTGGCCATGGTGACATGGAGAAGAGGAGAAGTGAATGTGCCAAACCTATGAATTACAGTCAGGGCAATGAGGGGCACATAAAAGATGAAGACAGTGAAGATGTGGGAAACACAAGTATTAAGTGCCTTGAGCTGACCACCTCCAGAGGCAATACCTAGCACTGTTTTTAAAATCAAGACATATGAAATGACAATGAGCATAGAGTCAATCCCAAAGGAGCAGATGACGAGGGACAACCCATAGATGATGTTGACTCTGACAGGGCCACAGGCCAGCTTCATAACGTCAGGGTGGTAGCAGTAGCAATGGGACAGAATGACATCCTTGCAGAAGGGCAATCGCTTTAACAGGATTGGCAAGGGAATCATCAACACCACACCCCTTATCACAGCTGCGAGCCCCATCCCTATAATACGAGGAGGGGTTAAAACCACAGTGTAGCGCAGTGGGTTGCGAATCGCTACAAACCGGTCAAAGGCCATGGCCAGCAGGATGGCTGACTCCATGGAGGAGAAGGTGTGGATGAAGAACATCTGTGTCAGGCAGGAGTGGAACTCAATCTCCCTGTGATTCAGGAGGAAGACATTGAGTACTGTAGGTAGAGTTGATATGGACAGACCCATGTCTGTAGTTGCCAGCATAGACAGAAAGATGTACTGAGGCTCATGAAGGCTGGATGTGGTTTTGATGACAAAGAGGATAGTACAGTTCCCTAAGAGGGCAATTAGGTACATGACACACAGTGGGACCGAGATCCATGTCTGTACAGCCTCCAGACCAGGGATGCCTGTCAGAAGGAGAGTGGGTGGCTGAAACCAGCTAGTGTTTGCAAATCTCATAGGGATATATATCTCTTTGGTTCCAGTCCAGATTAGCTTCCAAAATGTTCCTATTGGGAGCAAATAAATAAATCATAAGTTAAGACAGAAAGTGATAAAGCGTCTCAATCATTTGGGGGAGCATTAATCCTAGGCTTTTTTAAATCAAGGAATTATCCTTAGGTGGTTTCCAAATCTGTCTGAATAACTGTTTAGAGTTAGACAATGAACAATTGCTATTAATATGTGAGAGCTAGTACAATTCCTTTGGCCTAGATTCGACAATCACTGGTAAGGGAAAGTAAAAATTAAGGACAAACTTTATTTTTTCTCCCAACAGAACATTCATTCTCAAAACTCTTTCTCTTTCTTGGTAACTTGATTTAATTATATTCATATCTACTTTATTTTCAGTCATCTTTGCCAAAACTCTGAAGAAATTTTTGTCCTTTCTCCTACTCCAACATCATATATACAAATATTCAGGCATCTGGAAAAATGAGCATTTTCCTGATATTTACAGTGCAGAAATAAATCATAGATTATTTCAATAACTCACGTAAACCCTGAGTCATATTTTTACAACTTCAATTGGTGTCATTTATTCTGACAATGTCAGTCAATTTTTACAACTTCATGTGATGCCATTTATTCTGACAATAAATTTCTAGGTTGTTTCATGTTCTCTATTGAAATATGTTAATTTTTTAAAAGAATACTCATCAACACATAAGTGATAAAATTATTAAAGTAGGTATTTGACACCATTCAGCTGGTGCTAGAATAGTATCAAGCAGCAAAAATAATTTCTTGAAAAAATTTGAAGTATCTCTATTTCAAAATATAAATATAACATGTTAAGAAACAATAAATAATGATACCTTAGTTAATGTCTTAAAAATACAATAGTTGGAAGAAATAGTGTTAGTTTAGTCTTTATCCAAGATATATGTTAAGGAAATATATTATTTAGTGTTGGTTGCGTGCATTTAGATTTAAGTGTTTTGTTTAAAATTCCAATTTACCATGCGGAAACAAAATATTGATGCAACTGCATCTGGATATGGGGGACAAGGTAGAAAGGAAGGTAATACACCTGAGCTAAACTCTGATCTAAGAACCGTGGGCTTAGCAGTGATTGCTGCCACCCCCCCAAGGGAGCTTCAAACAATGAAACTTTGTTGGTCAAGTTTATTAACTTTTTGTATTAATGATTATAGAAATTGACAATAAAAATGTAAATGACAGGCTTTAGTGTTTATATAAATGTTACCCAAAAAGCTGTATTTTCTTGGGTCAGAGATCAAGATTTATGAAAAACAAAATGCAGTATGAATTGAGCAGCTTTGTGATTGAGTGGAACTTTGTTACACTTCACAAGGTAAATTTAATCCAAATTGAAAATTTGTTTCAACTGAATTTTTAATTAATTGTGAATTTAATTGTTTTTAATGCTTAGTAATATTTTAATTGGGTATCTTTTTAAAGTGGAAACAATAAATTGTGTACGTGTAAAAAAAAAGAACATGAAATCTAAACACAATGTCTTTTTAAAAGTCATATTACTTAAAAATATGGCTAAAAGCAGAAATCACTAGAGGAAAAATTAAACAGAAATTAATACAGGATTTCTTCTTAGAGAGTAGAATTTTTGTTGCTAAGGTCTGGGAAGGAAATGTAGGGGGATAGTGAGAGATTTGTTAATGGACACAAAATTACAGTTAACTGGGAAAAAATAAGTTCTAGTGGGATATAGTAGTGCTAGGCACGTCTAGTAAACAATAATTTAATGTGTGTTCTCAAATGGCTAGGAGAGAGGAGTTCAAATGTTCTCATGCAAAGACATGATAAAGTTCTGCAATGCTGAATATTATTGAAATATAACTCCGTACCACATAAATATGTACAATCAATACATGCCCATTAAAAGATAAATAAAGTTATTTTCTAAGAAAAGGAGTTTCTTCTAGAAAAAGAGCTAGAGACTAGGAGAATTGGGACAAGAAACTATTCTTATTTTCCTCTCAGACAAAATTAGAACTTCTGAATTGATTTAACACCATTCTACATTTCTAAAAAATATATATGTACATATGTGTATTCTTATACTTATCCATATATCCTTGAAGAGCAAATTCCAAATGAATTTACAACTGTAAACCTATGCTTTTCCAGTCTTCGATTCACAATATTTCGGCACTGAATGTCTATCACACTACATTCCTTCATGGTATGACTAATAAAGAATGTTTAACAAAGCATGCCATTTTCCATGAGGGGCAGTTACAGTTAATATATGCAGCCCGTAATAAGGAGGCTGACTTCTTAGGAACTTACAGTAGTAAGAATAAGATTAGTTTTATACATTATTTTCTTCTGTACTTGTCAAGTGTCAGAGTCACTCATGTTGGGGGGGAGAAAGTCACAGCACACAATACTGGGGTGTCCAACCACACCAGAAACACTACCCACGCTGTCACTCAGCACACTGCCTCCAGCCACACCAAGACAAAAAACTCTCTTATCAACACAAGTCCTGCCACAAGGCAACATGCACCTCATTTGAACAAACACAAATGCACGTACTACAGGTTCAGGTATACACATAAAACAAGCCCTCTTTTGCTTCCACTCTCTTCCAGAATATCTTGGAATTCACTCTCTTCTTTATGCTCATCTTTCCTTTTTGTTTTCAGAACCCACCAAATCACTATCACCAGTACCAGCACCTAGACCATCCACACCACTGCTACAACCAGTTTAAAGCTGAACAATATGTTTAGTCCATATTGTTACCAGTTTCCTTTTTTAATACTTCTTATGCCTACATCCCTGGCCTTTTATCCATGATAAGATATTTTTTCTACTTGTTTATTTTTTCTTCTAATTACTCTTCATTCTAGTCAGATGGGTTGCTACATTCCGCTAGACATGACTTATTCTGACATCAAAATATTTGTGCATCTTCTGATCACATTGTCAAATGTGATCATGCTTTATTTCAACCAATAGTCTTGGTCTCTCATTTACACACTATGACTCCCCGTCAGATAAACTTGAACTCCTGTGTTACTCTTCTTGGCTCTTCAGTTAGGCTTCTGTATTCTCACCTTTCCCAAGTCTCCTTTCTCTTCTGAGTCTAAGGACTTTGAGTAACCATGACATTTCATTCTAAATATTAGAAAAACTCCGGTTAAGCATTTCCTAAGGTCAATGACTCAGCTCTGTTATTTTGATGAAAATAAATTCAACAGTTATTTTTACACAGTGCATGATCTACTACAAGGAAACCAGTACCCTTTGCACAGCTTGATGTGTGAGTCAGCAACACACTCCTTCTTTGCAGTCTCTTCCTCCTGGGCATAGGCAGGGAACAGATGGATTCCTATGAGATGTGAAAAACCTCTCCTAGATGTATCTGCCTTGTGCCAGAGTTATTTATTGCAACAAATAGAAAGTTATAGACGGAAGGTGCCAAGGGGATGGCATCAAAATATACCCATAGGATGGTGGTTTTAATATGCCACACACAAGATGCCACAAACACAGATTACCTGGAACTGAGGCCACGCCAAACTTGCTTTTGCCAATACTCCAGAGTCCTTATAATTTATCACACATTCAAGCAGAGACAGGTTGTATCTTTACTGCCCATCATAACCATGTGATGAGCTCTATTTTAGAAGTGATTGTTCCTGATACAGAACCTTTTAGTGTTCAAACTTGGTTTAAATCATTTCTGCGAAATCATTTCAAAAATCGTTTTGAAATAAAATGCTATACTACCCTTCTGAGAAGCGGAGGGTTGAATACTCTGTCGTTCACTCAATTATTATGAATGTCCATTGCTATTACATTGTTTCACAACATTACAATGCTATAAATTATTTTAGAGGTACAGAGCCATTTATGTTAGTCTAAGTTAGTGTGGCCTCATAAAATGTTTTGGTTTTCTCCTCTTTTCTTTCTGTAATCCTGTTGATTGTAACTTTTTCCTTCTTTTTCCAAGTTGTTGAACACACTCATAGTGATGAGAAAATCTATCGAGCACAGAAAAGTCTAAGGAAAACAAAGTAGGAATGTTACCTTAAGTGAATATCTTTGTGTGTAGATAGTATGTACATAGGTATATAAATATATATGTACAGTATATATTTTATACTTTAAACCCTCAGTGTTCACAGGTGATTGGTTCAAGGGCCTCCCTTGAGTACCAAAATCAATGAATGTTCAAACCCCACATATGAAGTGATGTAATACCTGCATATAACTACACACATCCTCCTGTATACTTTAAATCATCTCTAGATTGCTTATAATACTTAATACAATACAAATGCTCTGTAGATAAGTGTTGTACTGTATCTCTTAGAGAATAATGACAAAAAAAACATGACTGTACATGTTCAGTAGGGATGTGGCCTTCCTTTTTTGTTGTTGAATATTTTCTATCCATAGTTGGTTTAATTCACAGAAGCAGAACCCACAGGTACAGAGGACCTACTGTGTGTGTATGTGTATGCAGGCACACATGCATGCACACACCCCTGACAATTGTCATGTTCCAAGACCCTTCTCTAGTTCTTTGCAGATTTCCACTCCCCCTCCCCATGCACACAAGCATAGATGTTTACATTGCTGTGCTTCAATCATTCACTTAAGACTAAATTGACTAAAGGAAAGACTGAAGGGAACTAAAGGAAAATAAAAGAAGAAGAATTATAGTATCCTTTTGTTTACATTAAATACAATCTCCTTAATTTTACTCTTCATTTTTTGGTAAGGTTGTTTTTGACTTGAAGAATTTCTTTATAACATATAGAGTGAATCTATCATGTGTTAGGTATGTGGCTTATATATTCTGATAGTCACTTCCTTAAATTTAACTTTCTATTTTTTTCTATGCTACCTTGAGCCAAGCATGCACTCTCAATATCTATAGTGATAAAATATATGATGTTTATAAAGTTGGGCTTGTGGGTTTATATCATGAAGTGAAAAGTGTCTTAAATAGATATAAA